CCTCCCATGTTTCCAAGTCAGCTTTCCTGCAAGAAGAAATCTGGTTTAAAAGGTCTTGTATTGAGTCAAGAATTGAATTTGGAGATGGAATGGATGTATCTGAAACAGAGTGGTACCCAGATGTGCCCCGTAAGACATTTCTCTGATAATGTCCCTAATCATGCCAGGGAGACTAGCATGGACAAGGACTCAGGTGGAGGCTGGAAAGGTAGAAAGGACCCCTCACCTGCTTGGTGTCCTTAGCAGCTTTGCAAAGGACCACCCTAGGCTCTAGCTGGCTGCCTGTATGTGAGCCTGCTCAAGAACACTACCATAGCTTACCTACTGAATAAAATCTGGGTGGAACTGCTGGTCTCTTTGTTCTGTCAGGATTTGGAGGGGATGGACAAAGGGTTGATGATGAGACAGTGGTAATAGGAAGAGGCAAGGCCTGCAGCTGCCCATGGGAGCAAATGAAGGACAGCGTGTGGGGCTTCCACGTAGATCCCCTCCTACCCCAACCTTCATTCCTTGAGATTGAACTCAGGGCCTTTGCACTGAGCTACATCAACAGCTTTTTAGCTTTGAGACAAGGTCTTTCTCACTAAGTTGCCCAGGCAGGATTTGCATGTACAATCCTGGCTTAGCCTGCCAGGATACAGGGATCACAGGCATGTGCCACTGTGCCTGGCTCTCCCATACCTTTTCTTTTTTTTTTTTTGATACCAGCAGTTGAACTCAGGACCTCCTGCTTGCCAGGCAGGCACAGCGCCACTGAGCTAAATCCCCAGCCCTCTCCCATAGCTTTCCTAATGCAGTGCTTACTTCGGCAGCACATGTGCCTTACCTTTTCTTATGCTGAAATTGCCAATTTTCCCAGTGCTGTCCTATACATCCCACCTCTTCCCTGTCATCCCAACCTTGTTTCTTGAGTTCTCTGGGCCTGTTAAGTCAAGCCCTTGTTGATTCCACAATAAGAGTGGCAGGTCACTGGAGCATAAGGAAAGGGGGAGCCCTGTTCCAGGGGTCTTATTATCACCACCAGGAGGCCTTTCCCGCTTTTTTGCTCCCTGAACTTTCCTGCAAGTCCCTCCAGAAGCAGCTCCTGTCACTTTATTTTGTAGCCAGAACAGACGAGTCACTTCTCTGTCTCAATGGAAAGGCAGGCAGAGCCCCCAGGGACTGGAGAGCCTCAGGTGACAGGTAAGGGCTTCTCTACATCACTAGTCAGGAAGTGTCACCATAGCAACTCCAGTAACAAACAATGGTGCCCCGAAAGGGCTCCTCACAAAGCTGTCCCTCCTGGCTCTGAGCCCAGAAGAATGGCCAATAACCCACCAGCACTCCGAGGGCCCAGTGATCCATGTCACAGAGAGCCTCTCCTGCAGGTAATCCACCTTTTCCTCTGGCTAGGCCAGAGGCTGGCCCTCTGGGCAGCAGGTCTCCTAGGGTACAAACTCCTTTTCTGCTCAGCATTGCGACCTGGAAGCAGCTTGGATGGGAGGAGGTGCCAGTTAGCACAGATTGAATGTCGTATCTGAAACACTTGGTATAGGAAGTCTAGGATTTGATTTTTTTTTTAATCTTGGAGTGTGTATAGGCATAATGAGATATCTTGCAGGCAGGACCCAAGTCTAAACACAAAATTTGTTTTATATATACCTATGCACCTAGCCTTCAAGTCATTTTATTCAGTATTTTTAGTGTGCCTGTATTTTGACTGATGGATCACTTAAGGTTAGGTGTGGCACTTCCCACTTGTCATGCCATGTGATGCTCAGAAAGGTTCAGATTTTGAACATTGGATTTTGGATTCTCAGATTAGGGATGTTCAACCTGTACCACTACCACCACCCCCAGCCCATTTGTAGAAATGACTTAGGGGACAAGGCTCACAATACAGAGAGGCTAAGTGTGGTGGCACACACCTGTGATCCTACCACTTAGGAGGCTGAAACAGGAGGATTGCTCCAAGTTTGAGGCCAGCTGGGGTTACACAGTGAGTCCTTGTCTCCAGAAAACAAAATAAAAGCAAAGCCCTGGGGTAAATAGGAGAGAGGCATTTAAAAGATACTTTCATCCTGGCCAGACCACATGCTGAGCACTGCACCATGGCCCAGGTCCCAGTCTGCTGTTCATTCAGACACACAGTTTCCCTTTAGCAAGGTGTATTTGGACTCATGGCTTCAGAGATGTCTGTCCATGGTCACTCGGCTCTGTTGGCCTGGGCCTGTGGTGGCCCAGGACATCACGGTGGGTGCACACGGTGGAGGAGGCCTGTGACTCCTTGGTGGCCAGGAAGTTGGAGCGGGAGGAGGGTCCCCCTGTCCCCTCAGTGGCCACCACCAGTGACCTCACTTCCCCCCACTGAGCCCTGCCTCCTAATGGTGTCACTACCCACAGCACCACAGGCTGCAGCCAAGCCAGCAGGCATGGGCCTTGGGGCTCTTCCAAGCCATTGCAGGATGGTGACAGGACTTGCTTGTAGAACTGTGAGGGTTAGATGGGACATGCGTAAGCATCGGCAGTGTTGACACAGGTTTGCTACTGTTTATGTCCTGGTGGGCACAGGTGCAGCAAAGAGAAGGAGCTAACATTCTAGATGCTTTCCATATTTGCATTTTATTCTTAGTTTAAAAAATTTGTTTTAGGGCTGGGGATTTAGCTCAGTGGAATAGCGCCTGCCTGGCAAGTGTGAGGTCCTGAATTCCAAGCCCAGTACCAACCCCCAAATTTTGGGGGGGCCAGGGATTTAGCTCAGTGGCACCACGCCTGCCTCGCAAGAGCAAGATCCTGAGTTCCATCCCTGGTACCAGAAAAAAAAATTTTTTTGAGACAGGGTTTCACTATGCAGTTCACATTGCCCTTGAACTGAGAATGTAGTCCAGGCTGCTGTCGAACTCTTGGCGATCTTCCTGCCCCAGTTTCTTGAGTGCTGGGGTTCATAGCTATCTGCCACCAACCCTGGCTGTAGTAGCATTTTAATGAGAAGTCAGAAGGAATAGTGCCTGCTTGTAATCCCAGAACTCTAGGAGGCTGAGGCAAGTGGATCAAAAGTTCAAGCCCAGATTGGACAACTAGGCTCTGTCTCAAATTAAAAAATGTGAACAGGGCTGGTGATAAAAACTCAGTGCAAGCCAGACATGGTGGCACAGGCCTGTAATCCCATCACTTGGGAGGCTGAGGCAGGAGGGTTGCCTTGAATTCAAGGCCGGCTCCGGCTACACAGTGAGTTTGAGGCCAGCCTGAATTACATAGCAAGACTCTGTCTCAAACAAAACAAAACAAAACAAAACCCCAAAATACAACAACAAAAAACTCAGTGCAAAGGTCCTGGCTCCAGTCATCAGTGCTGCTGCCAGGACAGCAAAAGTCAAAGGCTCATGCCATAAGAGAGAAATATTAGAGCCTGGGCTGCTATCTGGAGAAGGGCTTTCCACGTGCCACCAGGTGTCACCAAGAGCACTGGAAGGTGGCTCTCTGGAATGGCTGTCATGGGCCACTTCTAGGACCATGGGCTGGACAGAGGCCCTAGACAGGAATGTGGGGCATCAGAATGGGGGAGGGGGTCTATGGAAAATAATCCTATCATTTGGGGCAGGGGGACAGGAACGAGAGTCTCGGGTGGGAGAAGGCTGGCAGCTTGTGCCTGGAAGCAGAGTTCAGGGCCTGGCCCTAATGAGTCCCTGTGGGTACAGGCATCTCCAGCTCCAGTTTTCTCTTCCCAGTCGGTCCGAGCCAATGAACACCTCCTCCAGTACCTGACGTGGGCTCAGCGCCAGTTCCTCCTTCCCAGCGAATTCTGGGAGTTCCCTGGCTTCACCCGGCAAGCCTACCACCCGCTGGGCCTGCAGCGCGCGGGGGGGGGGGGGGGGCACCACCCCCACCCCCACCCCGCCCCTGCACAGAAATCAAGTCCACCGTGCGTCCGCGGCTGCTCTGCCCTTGGCAGGGTGCAGCTGAGCACACCTGGGGCTTCCACACGTGGCTTGATGTGGGACATCTGCCCGCCACCTTCCCCAAGCGGCCAGACAGGCCCTACGACAGCAGCGTCTGGTGCCGGTTCAGACACTCCCAGGTGCATGGCCTTCGGCCAGCAGAGCCCCCCGTGACCCCTCCCTCCAGGATGGGGCCAAACAGCTTCCTGACCTTCATCTGCTCCATGCCCATCTTCTTGGAGGGGAACAGGAAGAAGCAGGAGATTCTGAGGACAGTGAAAGAGCTGAAGGAAGCAGAGAAACTCAAGCTGAGGAGTGAAATGAGAGCACCCCTTGTGAACGCCCAGGACAACACCCTGCCCCTGTGGCCTTCAGGAAGTAAGAGGAGCACTTCCTTGGGGAGCACCTCCCCGCTGTGGGCCAGCCCCAAGCCCTCTCCTGTTTCTGTGTCTAACTCTGTACCCCAGCCTTCCTACATGCTGTCCCTATCCGTTGTGCTTTTCTTCATAGTGCTGGGCATGGAACCCAGGGCCTTGTACATGCTAGACAAGTGCTTGACCACCGAGCCGTACCCTAGCCTGACTCTTGTTTTCAGAATACAGTATAGCTAGAAAGACTGGTGGGAGTGGGAAAAGGCCACAAGAGGAGGCACTTAATTATTTAGCTTTAGTAAGGCAAAAGATTTATATGATCTGAGGAGTGCCACTTAGGGATTAACACCCACTAGGCTCTGGGGACACTGAGGAGTGTGATTCAGTCCCTGCCCTCTAGAGAGCCACCAAGCCAGGCCATCTGGCACTCAGGAGGCTGAGGCAGGAGGATGGCCGCGAGTTCAAGGCCAAGCTGGGCCACATAGTGGGTTCAAGGTCAGCCTGAACTGCATAGTGAGATCTGGTCCCCAAAATCAAAAGGGTTGGGATTTAGCTCAGTGGTTCCAGTGCCTGCCTTGCAAGTGCAAGGTTCTGAGTTCAATCCCTGGTACAAAAAAAAAAAAAAAAAAAGGGTCAGTGAATATGTGAAAGAGCTGAGCCAGGGACTAGGGTGTGGCACAGTGGTGGAGTGCTTGCCTAGCATGTTGAAAGCCCTGGGTTCCATCTCTAGCACTGAAAAAGAAAGAAGAAAGGAAGGAGAAAAGGGGGGGGGGAGAGAATAACAGAAAAGAAAAGAAAAGGCCGGGGATGTAGCTCAGTGGTTCTGGTGCCTACCTCTCAAGCGCAAGGTCCTGAGTTCGATCCCTGGCACCA